GACCTGACTTCTTCTCGTATTTGATATAACCCAGGGCCCGACGGGGCTGATGCGAGCCCTTAGGGTGTGGTATGACGATCAATATGCAGCCACTTTTGTCTTCGTAGTATAGCTGAAGATCGAGGCGGCCTAGTTCAAAATGTTCGAAGATGGCGTCCTTCCTATCTTACAGTACTGTATGTCCAATACGATTCTGGACTATTCGTGGACGTTGTCCATAAATGTGTGCGGGAGAGCGTGTTCGACGCAGCAAAATAAGGTCAGATTAATCAAGCATCCACCGAATCCAGTCTTCAAGGCCCCAGGCCTCACCTTGACTCTGGTTCCCTGACGTTCCTGCTCCAAGCCACGCCACATCGTGGCGTCGAGGAGCACATAAGCTGGCACTTGGGTTCCTGCAATATTGGTCGAAACTCGGACTGCTAATGGTGGCGTTACTCTACAACATCACTGTACTACTGTGTGAGTTTGGGCTCGGGGAAGGTTTCTAGATGCCGACTGCCAATCGTTAGATTTCCTTTCCCGTGTTTGACGCCGCATGTAAGTCCCCATCTGTCCGCGGAGAAAATTTCGCTGATCATTCTAGATTACATCCGCGCCCTCGTGCAGGATGACAAGGCAAGTCTAATGCAGGGAGGATGTTCAATGAGACGTCTCGCAGGAGTATTGACGGCGAAGACACCTTTGTTGCGTGGGTGACGAGCCATCAAGAGCCACGGAGTGCAGGGGCGGAAGGACTTTCTCCCGAAATCAAAACAAGTCTCCGTACGACTTTCATAGTTTCTTTCGCGGCTAGCGCCACGACCTCGCATGGCTTGAGGGGTCCAACCACCCTTGATTGACCCACGTTTTGGTTGGAAAGTTACAGAAATTAATCGGGGGAATGTAACAGGGGTATTGACAGCACATGCTGGAACTAACTAGTCGATTTGAGAGGGAAGACAAAAGCTTAAGTTTAATTAAACGTTAAAAACGCGGCCAGTCCTTGGCGGTGGAGCATCAGGTCGTGGATTTCTCGAACAATAAGAAAAGTATAAGGCCTAGTTGTTGATCCTCCTGTGAAGTCAGTTCTCCAGACTGGCTCTCTTCAAGTCTCTCTCTCTACGGCACTTGCTTCCCTGTCGCCATGCGGTGGTCTCAATCGCTGCTCTGGCTGTGTGCCGCGTCCACAGTGGCCGCTCAGTCCACTGAGGGCATTTACAATCTCGTCCAGCGTCGACTGCCGAACCATGCTGACAGCTTTCGTTTCACACTAGTAAATGCTACCCAAATTGCGAACAGCTACGACCAGTATGTCGTGAGCACCGCTGCCAATGGCACAGTTCTTGTGCAGGGTAGCTCACTCAGTGCGTTGTCTTCAGGGTATTCATAACCCCTTGTCGTCATCATTATTCCTATCCATGCTGATCTGAATCAATAGTCTCCATCGCTATCTCACCGCTGTTGCCCACGTCGATATCTACTGGTACATTGGCAGTCACCTGGACCTTGCGCCCGCCAAGCTGCCGCAACTTGCTAGTCCCATCAGTGGCTCTAGCACTGTGCCGTGGCGTTATCACTTCAACACTGGTTGGATTCCCACGGCAACTGTGCCGCATTGTTCTCTAGCTAACATTCGCTAGTAACATTCTCCTACACTGCTGCTTTCTGGTCATGGGAAGACTGGGAGTTGCAACTAGACTGGCTTGCCCTCCGCGGCGTGAACCTGCCACTCGCCTGGGTGGGCTTCGAGAAAATCATGGTTGAGGTCTTTCGCGAAATCGGTCTCACGGACGCGGAGATTGCAACTTTCCTTAGTGGGCCGGCGTTCCAGGCATGGAACCGATTTGGCAATATCCAGGGGTCCTGGGGTGGAGACTTGCCCCAGCAATGGATTGATGATCAATTTGCCTTGCAGAAACAGATCGTGCAACGTATGGTGGAGCTAGGGATGACTCCGGTGCTGCCCGCATTTACCGGCTTTGTTCCCAATAACATCACCCGTGTCATGCCTAATGCGAGCGTGGTGCGAGGCTCCCAATGGTCGGAGTTTCCCATTCAATACACCAACGACTTGTTCCTCGAACCATTTGACAGCCACTATGCAGAGATCCAACGTACCTTCATTCACAAGCAACAGGCCGCCTACGGCAACGTGAGCCATATCTATACGCTGGATCAGTACAACGAGAACGACCCCTACTCTGGTGACCTGAGCTATCTACGCAATGTCACTCGTAACACCTGGCGCAGTTTGAAAGCGGCCGATCCCCAAGCCGTCTGGATGATGCAGGGTTGGCTCTTCTATTCCGACTCGGCCTTCTGGACCGATCAGCGGGTTGAGGCCTATCTCTCAGGTGTTGAGCACAACCAGGACATGCTGATTCTAGACCTATACTCGGAATCAGCTCCAGAATGGCAACAGACGAACTCCTACTATGGCAAGCCCTGGATCTGGTGTATGTTGCACGATTATGGCGGCAACATGGGCCTATACGGGCAGATCTTGAATATCACTCAGAACGTGACTGACGCGCGCCTCCAGTCGCCATCAATGGTCGGTTACGGTCTGAGCATGGAGGGTCAGGAGGGCAACGAGGTAGTGTACGACCTGTTCCTTGACCAGGCGTGGTCGACAACTCCACTAGACACGCATAAGTACTTCCATCAGTGGGTCACTAGCCGGTATGCGGGCCTCAAATCGATCCCGGGGGAGCTATATGAGGCATGGGATCTAATGCGCACCACTGTGTACAACAACACTGACCTGGCGTCCGCAATCGCTGTGAGTAAGTCTATCTTCGAGCTTCGACCTAACATCGAGGGCCTTGTTGGGATCACCGGCCACCATCCTACCACCATTAATTACGACCCATCGGTGCTCGTGTACGCGTGGCAATTGATGCACCAAGCCGCCCACACAGAATCACAACTCTGGACCAACCCAGCCTACGAATACGACATGGTCGATGTGACGCGCCAGGTCATGGCCAATGCGTTCATTCCGTTGTACATGAATCTAGTGTCTACCTACTACAGCTCAAATTCCTCCTCAAGCGCCTTGACGGACGAAGGCGCAAAGCTGGTCTACCTACTGAAGGACCTAGACACCGTCCTTCTCACAAACCCCCACTTCCGGCTCTCGACATGGATCGACGCTGCTCGGTCTTGGTCCGGTGGCAACCAGAGCTTGTCCTCTTATCTCGAGTATAATGCGCGCAATCAGATCACGCTCTGGGGACCCCAGGGCCAGATTAATGATTACGCCTCCAAGTCCTGGGCAGGTTTGGTGTCCACGTATTACGTGCCCCGCTGGGAGATGTTCGTGCAGTATCTGAATTCAACCCCGCCTGCATCGTACAATGTCACGGAGTGGGATGCGCAACTGTTAGATTTTGGGCTTCGGTGGCAGGAACAGACGTGGAAAGCTCCCGAGCCTTCGGGAGATGCTACGAATCTCCAGGAGGTGTTGGCATATGTGCGCGGCCGGTGGCCGTCAGTCTTTGATGCCTGATTCGGTTGGGTTGTTTGTTGATAGGACTTATTTGGATTAGTAAATATACAATGACATCTTCTTTTTGTTTACAAGTTGAATTCGATGATCATAATTATGACCTTATCCCGTGTATTTGAGGTAACTGGATCGCCAACCTCGGTCTGAATGATCTCAGGAATCCTCATTGCGGATCAAACAGTTTGCTGTTGCCACTTACACAATCTCCAAACACCGACTATTAAGCGACCCAAACGATTTTCGATATGAAAACTGACAAGAGAGTTGGGGAGGGAAAGAACTGCTGGTTATGCGCCTAGTTGTCCATGGACAGGGCCGTGTCAGGGTCTGGCCCGGAATCTTCCGATGAAGTTAAATGACCCCATACCCGCTGTCTGCGCCTTGGCTATACATACAGTAAGCACGTGTGGCGTTACCGTTGAATTCTTCATTACAGGTTCGAACGTGGCTGTATTGTCCCAGTGCAACTTCTTGCTTTTCCAAATACGAGGGGTCCACTTTTGCAACTACAATATAAGCTTTTCTACCCCGACTTGTTCCTGCCGGCTTCTTATTGCAGAGCCGGGGGAGAAATGGCCGATTTTTGGCTCTTCGCCTTCTCGGGGACGATTGTTAATACCATTGTGTGCATATGATCTTGACAAGATTTTGCAGGAAAGCGCCATAAGTATCAGTGGGTGGTGTGCAGCGACACAACCGTAAACACGAGACCTGATCTGTATCTCCACATGATGATCTGATGTAAGACCACGGAAGCGCAAGAGCTCTGATCTTGACCGCAGTACTACCTTGTGGCTTTAAGTTTCTAGGCAACAGAAACCCTTCCCCAATTGAACACATAGTAGTCTTTGAGCTCTCTCTTTTCCTGTGCTCTTCCCTCTTGTTTGCGTCAAATTTGATGATCATTTTCGGGGTGGATAAAAACTTCTCTCCTCTGCAAGACCGACTTTCGTGGGCCATTCCCGGGATATTTTCAAGAAAGAAACGATGGTGCAAGTCACCTATGGATAAAGTTTGATCTCCATGCCTTTTTTTCGATTTGAGGCGGCCTCCCTTATCCCCTTTAGTAGCGTCTCCGGGCAGAACGACATGGAAGATGGTGCGAAGCTGAGGCTGTCGCGAATTAGTAAAGCCACCTAAAAAGCTAATCTCCTTCATGACTAATCTTTTGCAAATGTAAGGACTCCGCACTCGGGATTCGCCTGCCTTATGACTACTTCCTATTCCCGTCGTCACTCCCGTGGGTTGTCGTGGAGGAGAACGCGGACATTTATCGGGCTAGCGAGGGTAGTCCTCCGCATGAGCATTCGTTATTAATTGGTGAATAATTCCCCACAATCGCAATAAACTCACCTGCATTTCCCTTTTGGGAAGGTTGTTTGTTCTTCCCTCTTCCCCATACTCGTCCGCTCAGAAATGTTAAATACCGACCCCCCGACCCAGCCCCAATGACAATCTGCCTGGTCGTAAAGCTTCTCTCGACTCACAAGCTCGACTCACAACCACCATGAAATCTTCCAATCTGCTCCAATTGAGCGTCTTCGGCGCCTTGGGGGCTGCTGTGGCTGTCCAGTCGGGCGCTCCTTCCTGCGTCAATCCGCCTTCAACCCTCGCGCTGAGCGATCCGCCCTACAAGAATTTCTTCTACTCCGACTGCAATGTCGCTGCTCAGGCGGTCGTCACCAGCCCGCTGCCCGACAGCGACTTGAAGCAGATCGGTCCGCGCCTGATCTTCGCCTGGCCGGCCGGCGATAGCGGCGCCTGCGCCTACTTCGCGCCGCAGAATGCTCCCAACGG